CCCCAAAACCCCAAAACCCCAAAACCCCGTGAGAGTGTGATTGGTTGATTGAGAACAATTTTGATGTGTGAAAAATGCAAAGAGTAAATATTGAAAAGTTTGATAGGACTAAGCATATGCTCTAGCTTATCGTACTGTACTAATTTATTTGTGTTCTATTGCTGTAAATATTCATTGTAATTGACATGTAATTTAATTTAGAAATTTATATTTATTAATTTACAATGGAAAAATATAGACATGATTCCTCAGAGTATGTTTCACATATGTTTACAGAAAGAAATGACAAATCTTATCCAGTAGGCAGAATGGACAGGTACAACTCTGTCACTAGGAATAGTGTTTTGCTTTATAACAAGGGTCTGTGCGCTTAGTTCAATTACGATGAGGAAGAGGAACCAAGACTAATCTTGAAATAGCCCTAAAAAAAATAAAGTGATAGTTAATGCTCATTTTATGGTCCGAAGCAATTCACTATAGCGATAGGCGAGTAAACTAAATAGAATGCTGTTGTTGAACCTGAATCTATAAGCAAGTCTAGTTCAAATATGGCTCATCTGTAACTCAGACCAATGCCAAGTTAAATGGAGTATGATATATTCAGACCAAAAAAGGAAGGTAAGTTTAATCACTTATTATTGATGAACTATTTGTCGAATTCATCACATAATGAAGTTTAACTTGTTTCTAAGATGTGAAAAGTAACATTTAATTGTAGATGGATAGTTGATTTTGCTAGCTGATAGAGATGAAGAGCACACCCCTTAGCCAAAACTAGACTCATTAGATGATTTTAAGTTCGATAAGCCTTAGTAGTAAAATATTATGAACATATCGAAATACCGAACTGGATACTAAGATCAGAAAAAGAAGGGAGCAAAAACAATAATCTCTAGTAAATTCAAGCGACAAGCATTGCAAAAAATGTTGGAAAAATAGTAGTAAGTTGATGAAGAGAGTGAGGAAGACAGTGTTTTTGAAAAATAGCCAGAAGACGATGAGAACGTGGAAGATGTATTGCCTAAGGATGAAGAAGAAGAGGAAGAAGATGTCTTACTTGAGGTAGAGTAGATTAGCCTGATTAAAAAGAAAAGAGACAAAGGCAGAGCTTAAACTTTATTTATACCCAAAGACTAAGGTCAATTAGCTGAAGATTTAGAATAAGAATAGGATGAAGACGATGACGATGATGCTAGTAAAGGGAATTAGTTGCTAAAAGTCAAGAGTGTTGGTAATTTATCACCTACTAAAAAGAAGAAAAGCAAGAGGAGAAAGTCACTAATGAAAAAACAAAAGAAAACAAACTTGAATCTTAACTAAAAGGTTAATGGCCTCATTTAGCAATCAGATCTGAATCTAATCAACCTTAATATACCTCTCATTAAGAAAGGGCCTATTCTTAATTAGGCTAAGTCAGTAGCAGACCTAGGTAGGTTATTAAATTTTGGTGAAAAAAAGGGCAAACAACCCCATAAAAATGACAATCAATTTAATAACAAAGAAATCATTGCTATTAATTCGACACCTATGGAATTAAGTAAAACTAATAAGAATGATAAAAAATCCGATGCTTTTGCTAAGATAATAAAAGATAGCTAGATGCCATACAATAAAAGACTACTTAAAGATCCCATTTTCAGGGAATTTTATCAACAGAATCTATGTAAGGCAATTTATACATTCCCCAAATTCACAAGAAACTATTCAAAGAACTATAAATTAGTCCAGCATTCATTCCGCAAAACTTCTAAAAGTAATTTAATTATCATTAGCAAATTTTTTAGAAAAGAAGACAATTGTCTTTGATATAGACGAAACACTTGTGTATGCGACTTAAAATAGAAGCGAATTAAAGAAGCTTGATGAAATAATATTCATTAAGACTACTAAGTTTGGAGGCATGGTTAAAGCTTATCTTTCTTATAGGCCTTTCCTCTTTGAAATGCTGAATATATTAGTTGAGGATTTTGAACTTATTCTTTATACCTGTGGTACTGGCTCTTACGCATCTTCTTTTGCTGAGTCAGTAGAAAGAAATGGCGGACGTCGATACTTTGATCACATATTATGTATTTAGCATTGTCTGTACTCAATGGAAAATGAGATCTATATTAAAGACTTGAAAATTCTTGAAGAAGGAAGAAATATGAGAGATATTCTCATAGTTGACAATAATGTACAAAGCTTTTTCCTTTAGCTGTCAAACGGAATTCCGATATACGAATACACTGGTGATAAGAGAGACACTTAGCTTCCTATCCTCACAGACTATTTGCTATAATTTGCAGATGCCTCAGACAATAGAGGCAAAATAGATAAAGATTTTAAGATTAAAAAGCTTATTGATGAAGGTTCGGAATAGTATAAATGAACATATAAGACTAATTGGTGCTTGATTAGTAGGAAAATAATAGCCACCTACTTTTTAAATATGCATTGTTGTAAAGATTTATAAGTTTAGAATCATATATCGTTATATAACTTATTGATTTTTAATACGATTTAATAAGGATTGATATCTAGGATAGTATCTTGTAAAATTACGCTACATGGGGTTTTGGGGTTTTGGGGTTTTGGGG